GCAGTTTCAACCACGAAAGCATGTAATATTTCTTTTATTAAGCAAAGAATCTATTGTAATCCAGACACACTGTGAACTAAGAATACATAAAAAATAAATACAATAAAGATTTATGCTTGATTGAAAGCTAGGCTTGCAAAAAAAGAGATTTCGAAACTGGAGTGCGTATTTCTCCTAAAGAATGGAAATATTCTGCTATAAATTCAAAAATCTTTTAGTTATCTGTTTTACAAATATTGTGATTTGTCGCAAACAGTGACCTGTTGAAAGCTTTTCGACTGCTTGAGCTTAGAGTTTATCGGTTCTGTACCTAACAGACCACCCAGAAATTACAAACCTCTCGAATAAAAAAGCCAGTCAGAGCTTGTTATCTGGAAAAACAAGCTTTTGTTGCCATAAAACTAGGGTTATTAACTTATTACACAATGATCCCTTAACATAAGTGACAATGTCAGCCTGGGAGTTATTACAATTAGACGACGTGTAAGCATTTTAGCACTTTTACATTTCGAAAAATATTATTGAAAAATTAATTATTGTTAATGATAACCTTGGTTTTTCTTCTCGATATTTTACAATTATAAATTCCATTACTTACGCCGAATGTAGCATATACCGGAGTCAATGCCTGTATATAGCTTTTTTTCTGCAATTTTGATTAATAAAATTCTATCTACATTGTGTGATTTAAGATATTGAAAATAAACGCCACTAGAATTTCACATTTTTTTCTTCATAAGCCGAGCAAAGGGGATTTTTAAAACATTTACCGTATACCCGAGAATAATAAAGCACCCGGGAATAATATATCACTAGGCAATAAGATAGCACTGCATATATACATATGACAACCAATAAGTTTTTGCTCCACTGTGGGTCGATAATACGGCAAGAAAACCGTTCAACATCTACCGAGTGTCATATTGTAGCGATATATTAATCATAATATACCACATATGTCTAATTTCTTCAAAACACAAGTCACACTGGCTCCCAAATTGAGATGATTTAAAGATAATTTGTTTTTAAAGCCTTCCTCATGACTAGAGCCCCAAAGAACTCAGCTGGTAGTCATTAGCATAATGTAGTCAAACTGTCCTATAAAATTCCTCGCGTGTTTGAAAAGAATGGAAATTTCAACTAACTGAAAATATTATTCCGTGTGTTGAAGTTTTTTTGCTTTTCAATGAAATTCCTAAAATATTCCATTGGCCTAAAATGGCAATAAGCCTATATCCACTATAGGGCGCCATAGAAGGCTTTCATTCATGGATATCAAGAATGAGTAGACGACCGGGCGACGATGGATGCTGTCAATCCTCCACGTAACTTCGCATTTTTTGATGGAATTTTAAGTAACTTAGGGTTAAGCGTCAGGCACACATTCCCTCGAGGTACCAATAGATATATATTCCGGCATGTAACTGATATAGTGAAGTTTTTCCCTTTTTTTTGTGAGTGGATACCCTTAGTTGGCATCTTTTCCGATTCGTGTGTCATTTTAATGGTGCCCTTATCTTTTTCCGTTATTGCATATTCGTGCTTTTCGTATTGGTAAAGTGCAAGTTTAGCTATGAAGATTTTGTTGCTTCTTTCATAATTCTTATTGTTAGTAGTAGTTGTTGTTTTGGTAGTTGTTGTCGTAGTGCTGGTTTTCATTGTAATTTATGTTGTTGTTGTTGTTTATATTAGTAGCAGTTATTCCTTGTCAGTTGTTGGTCATGTTTTTTTTCTCTAACGGTGTGTTGGATGTTGTTGTTCTTGTTGTCAATGCTCCTGTAGCGTTAGTTGGTGTTGTAATAGTTGTGTGGTAGTGGTTGTCGTAGTACTGATGATAGTGGTGGTTTGTAATTGTTGTTGTTGTTGTTTATATTAGTAGCAGTTATTCCTTGTCAGTTGTTGCCTTTGTTTTTTTTCTCTAACGATGTGTTGGATGATGTTTTGTTGTCGATGCTATTGTTGTTGCTGTTACTGCATTATGTATGCTTTGTTACTGTGCTGTCAAGAGTCTTTTGAGTCTTTTGTTATTGCTGTTATCGAAGCTTAGATTGTGTTGTTTCTTGAGGTYTCTATTATTTCGATGCTGTACTTTGACAAGRTTTTAAAAAGCCCCTATTCAATTCCATATGCATCCATTCAGTCAAATGCAATAACAAGTATCACGGATGCTTTTTAGATTCTCCATTGAGTAACGACTGCTTTAGAGGTGTTTACACAATAGTGTTGAATCGAAAGCATTATATATGCTGTGATAATTACACGCGGATACTGGATGTTCCAAAAAGCAAATACCCGCCCGAAAACGCATTTTTTAATAACGCACAAAAAGTTTTTTTTTAAGCTAGTAAGGACTCTATGCGCGTATACTACTGCAAGTCACGAGGTCAAATCTCCACCAATGAGAGCGGAAGAAAATTTGTTACTGAACAGTAATAAGACTTACCTCTTTTTACGTTTAGTATACCTTCGACATTTAACCTATGTTCTAGAATAGCTAAGGTACAGTTTTCCTTTGACCCCTAGCAGGTTCCAATAAGTCTCCGGGCTGGGGCTCAGACTGGCCGGGATAAAAAAGAGCTTTTGGAAAGATGCCCGGCCCAATTACAAACTATAAGACAAAACATGTTTTACRTGCTTGGAATACAGTAACAAATATAATAAAAATATTGTGCAAAACAGCACGAATCTTCTGCCATGAATGTTTCATGATAGAAGTGCATCAACCCCCTATCGGGTAGTAGTAAGGAGACGTCAAGTTCTCGTCAGGCAGTCTGCCAGTCAATCGATTTAATAGGATTCCTTTATAATCATATTATCGCCACGGGAATAAGAGGCTAAATGGAAGGGATTTTAGGCTTACCACAGGTAGCCCAGTTGGCTCCCTATGTGATCTGAAAAAGTGACTAAAAGTTGTTAAAAAATATAATCCCGTGCATGCTTTGACGCTTAGTAAACAAAGTTTTTTTCCAATTAAGCGGGCAAATGTCCCGTCTTCATTAATAACAATTAAACTGGGAGATAAGAGCTGGCGTTTTTCTTATATGCACCCTCATTTATCTAACATATATTTTTTATACTTAATAAAAACAAGAGATTAACTTGGGATATAATCGGCTTTTTTGTGTCGAGACTAACTCGCCACTAAATCACTGCATGTTGTTTTCTGTTTTAGTTAGTTTCGTCCTCAAGGCATGTCATAAARCATGAGTCTTCAAGCCATTATCCATGGCTTCTTCCTTATCAAGGTAAGGTTCCACCACTGAAGATACCCAGTGTAGTCCATCAAACTACCATTCGTCAATCGAACACAATCGAACATGAATCTGTACGATTAACTGACGACTGGTATTGCGTCAAACTGAATTGTTTGTCGTGCGTCATATATAGTTTCAGTTATCGTAGATTTCATGAATTGTTTTCGTAAATTGTTTAAAACGAGACTTATGGGGCCGGTTGTACTGAAAAGATCGAATAGCGCTTTCCACCTCATAAATGCTTATTAAGCGGACAAAATAGAAGCAAAAGCTATGGAGGGGAAATCTTTACCCAGTGGCCCCTGTAGTTGGATCTATGGTAAGCTGTAGGCCTTATTAACTCGATTACCTCGATTAACTCGATACCATAAGTAAATTATTTATGTATTTCAAAGTATTGATTGTCTTTTTACTAGTCAATCATCGTCCAGAAATTCTCAATACCCTCACAAACCGTACGYTATCCGTTGGTCACGGGGCTTCCTTTAAATGCCGTGTAGCTGGGAACCCAAAACCCCGCATCAAATGGAAGAAAAATGGAATCACTATCGACGAAAACAAAAGGATCAAAGTACGATTTTTCGATTGGGGATCACGCCTGCGCATTAGAAACATACAGAAGTCCGATGCTGGGGTATACAGGTGTATAGCCAAAAACCCGCATGGTAATAGGGTTTCTTCCCCTGCTTACGTTAAGATCAGAGGTAGGTGGAACTGACTGGTTAGTTGGAATAGTCTCCTTCACGGTTACGGCTGCGCCATCTTGAAAGGTAACCGTGCCTTTGCATCGAAGCGAGACAACCGTTGAGCGTGCAATGATATAAACCTGTGAATAATTGTCTGTAGGTGTGAAAGAAGGTTTCTATCATTGCACACTCAACGGTTGTCTCGCTTCGATGCAAAGGCACGATTACCTTTCAAGATGGCGCAGGTAACCGTGAAGGAGACTACTGCTGCTGTTGTTAAAAGCTGTTGTTGTTGGTTGTTGATGTTATTGTTGTTGCTATTGCTAGTTGTTATTGTTGCATATTTACGTACCCGGTATTGGAGGCTAGGGGATTGATTATATGAAGCGGGGTGGTCCGGCTAAATGGGCTGGATTCTTTTGTTTTCTTTTCCAAAAGGGGAATTAATACAAAAGAAATCATCCCAGTCAACCGGGCCAGCAATTATAAATGTAATCAGGCCTTAAACCACTATTTTCATCGGTGAACCTAACCCAAACATAACAAAGGGCTAACCAAGGCATTTTGCCATATCATTTTGTATTTGTTCCGTCCAATAAATGGAAATTTTGACTTCCACTATTTACCCATTATTTATCTCAGGAAGCCAGGGATAGTTTTTTGGCGGTTTATTGTCTTCAGTGTAGACGTTATAGGTTTATATTTTCGCCGTGAAGATGCCAAAATGACCAAAAAGTATAGCCTGACATAGCATTTTGGTTAAAACGAGTACTGTATACAGTAACTATCGATCGTATTTTTCAAACGAAAACTATGAACTCAACAAGTTTTCGTGTATATTAAAGTCCCTTATGCTTGGTTATTATCTCTAAATGATGTAGTATCTCATTTACCTTAATTAGGTGTCTTTTTAACATCAATTTTGTTGATTTTTCTTCGCTTGAAGTCCAAAGCTTTCGATTCTTGAAATTGTCCGCCATGTTGATTTGCTTAGCTGCCAGGCAGAATAAACCCGGAATTTTACATAAAATGGGCTCCCTGTGGAAATCCGGTGAGTGTGTTTCCTAATTTTCTTTTTTTTTTCTTTTTTTTTACAGATAATAAGAAAGGAAGGTAAATATATTTATTTGTTTGATTGCTTATTGTGTAATTATATTATAGTCATTTTAAGAAATTCTATCAAATGATATTCAGGTAGCTGCTGTTCCAAAATATGCTTAGGGATCCCTTTTGATAAGTATTTTCATAGAGCTTGATTGCTTTGTACTCTTATTTAGAAAGAGGAGAGCAAAAGTCACGTGAAGTTACCCATGATGCACCCGATATAGTGATAAAAGTCAGCGGTCAGAACTTATGCAAATGACTATACGAATTTTTATTCGTTAAATTTTTTCATCCACTCATTCTTTCGTTATTGGTGTCAATTCGAACGCAAACACTAAAACCATGAAAAACTTTATCAATTAAATAGATAATTGTTTTCTCTTTTCTAATCTAAATTATATTGCGGTATCAGTCACATTATTTGTTTTTTTATGTGACAATACTATACTTTTAGCTTCTTTTTTTCAAGAAATCTGAGAAAATTTCAAAAGGAAATTCTGAAACTTTATTTAATTGTTTCTCTCTCTTTTCGACGAAGGTGTGAGGTGTACACTGGATCGCTATGCAACACCAACCTGTTCCATCTYTCATACGGACAAAGTCAGMACAAAATTGAAAAGTCGATCTCAAAAACTRTCAACTCACTCAAAGGCATTGCTAGTCCAAAATGCATAAAACAGCTCASCCGATATTTATGCCGCAAGAATTACCCATCATGCACTTTGAACAGCAACAATAAACCTCGAAAGGTGTGCCGGGAAGACTGCCATGAACTGGAAAAAAGAGCGTGTCGTAAAGACATTCCACGATTTGGTCCATTCTGGCGCAGGATAGTCACGTGCGCGAATTTGCCATCGGTTGCCAGGCAACCTGATTCCAACTGCCAGCAGGTTTTTGGTATGTACAAGGAAACAATTTTAACTGTTTTAAATTGTTTAAAATTGTTTTAAAATAAAATTTGGTGGGAAACGTTCTGAAATCATATAAGAGCATATTAGTAATAAAATATGGAATATACACTATGAATAGACAGTTATATTTGAGTAGATATGGGCTATTTCACCCTGACTTTTACAAAACTTGACTTTTTTGACATATTTTAGGCTATAACAAACCTATACACAAGAAGACCATCTCTCCTAGTGTTAAACCACCACCAGACTATACCCACCATCATCTAAGGTATTGGATGTTATCATGTCTTTGGCTGACCATACAACTCATGTGAACATAAGAACAAAGCTATTAATAGCCAAATAATCAAATAGTTGGTTATAGGTTGGTTTTTGATTCATAATTTTACACGATACTTCAACTTTTAAACTGCTGCCATTTTTGGATGACTAAACAAGGCAGACTAACTAAGAAGCCGCTGTTATTTTCATCCAACATGGCGGCTGTGCCGTAACGTAACTGGAGAATGTGTTACTCTTTCGATAGAGATCACAAATGAAATGATCAGCATCGTTCAATATCATGTACCCCGTCGTTTTTATATTAAAATTGCTAAAATTCCCATTTCTAGTAATCAATGTACAAGTTATAATGGTCAATTCTGCAAGGAATACATTACTTCTGGTACAACAATTRTCATTCATGGAAATCAAACACAAATTAAAGCTGAGAAGAGACTTGGTCGATTGTTTCATCGACTTCAGGGATACATATCAAGCAACTGTGGGATTTATCTCAAGAAAGCATTATGTTACCACGTATTTTCTCCCTGTTCTAATGACCCCGTTCCAAAACCACAGCATATTTGCAGGTAAGCAAGACTAGTTGTTTTAAAAGAATGATACTTCTTTAATCTCATGACGTCATTTTTTTTCGGCGAAGTGCATCATGTTACCGGTATTGAGATGGCGGATGTTTTGTATAAAAGACAGATGATTCAGAATGGGGCTGAGCTGCACAATACATAGTATACTCAAAGACTAGTCGTTATGCTTGTTCACAAAAAGTACAGTCCGACATACAACATCATGACAGTTTGTACAATCCCATAGTGCATCACTATTAACATCGTATAGCGGCTTCAAGTGCAAGAACACAAACGGGAGAAAGGAAGAAGGGTTGGAGGGAGGGATGTTTGTATTGAGTTGCAGGAATGCATGGGTTGGATGAATTTGATTAGCGAACGCTTATTGGGTTGTGACGGCTTTGATTGATGGATGGATCATTTTTGATTGACAAATGAAAACAAGGAAAAGGCGTATAAAGCAACATTCTTATGACATTAATAGTCGACTTATATACTAACAACTATAGTATATGTGCCTTTCACTTCAGACTTCAGTGTGAGATACTTCAAGGGAGAGTGTGCTCAAAGGAATTTCAACTCGCTAAAGTCATAAAGGAAGACACGTTTGATCTACCAAGGTGTTACACGCTTCCACCAAACCAATATAACAGCAAAAAACAACAATGCATCAGCCTTGGAATCAATGGTATTAATATTATCCTAATAATAACATAAGTTGACCTATCTGCATAACTACGTCCCACCAAATATCCTATTGTTTTAACGTTAAGGATTATGGTCGACAGAGGGAGATAGAATGACTCTGCATATCGAAGAAAACATTCATGAGCAATCGTTAATGCATGCTGCATATCAAAATTGAGTAAAAGCGAGGGAGAGAATTTGTACAGTTTTTGAGCATTTATATCCACTGTAAACATGGTGTGATGTCATTATGCGATAGGGCAGTGTAACATTATTGTTTATGACTCACTGTATTCCAGGGTGGGCTGCATGTTGGTGGCCATCCATTCCGAAAAAAAGATTTCTCATTGATGCATTCAGTGTTCAAAGAGCGACTAGCACGGTTTTGAGCTTCGTTTCTTCTTTTCTAGTAAATGACCCAGCCAACAGCGATTTAGACAGATGTTCAGCGTTTCTGAAAAGAACAAAGAAAAAAGGTAATTGACAACTTGTAATTTTTCTTTTTTTTTAATTGACTCACCCTTCTTCGTCTCCTTAGATTTACACCATTCTACTATCAAGCCGTTAAGCACCAAATACAAATTATGTTCAAAAGAACTGTTTGATTCTCCTTTGATGGCCAAACTACCAAATGACATCACAAAATTATTGCTAACTGTTCAAAGTAAAGTTTTCCAAAGCCAAATTGTAGAAACAAAAAGAAATGCCAAAACTGTTTATTGCATACCGCTCAATACAACCCTTAAATCTCTTACTTGGGACTGGAAACATTATCACAACACTTCACCACTACCTTACGTCCAAATTCAACCGCGAAGCATCAACATTCCTGGGATCGAGGTCACAATTGATCGTTTTTCATCTGTTGAAACGATTCTCGTTCCTTTTGGTACAGCGGATTTATACAAAGCGCATGCGAAGATTCACCTTGAAAACGTCACGTTCTTTTATCGATACCATTCCCCTAAAGGAACGTTCATGGCTAAAGGAAAATACCGTCTCTGCGAGTCTGTTTTTGATGTTGTCTTGGTTACTCTTCCTAATGGTGCGATGAGGATCACGGGAAATTCAAGCAKTCCWYTAGATATAAACACAGTCGAGAGAGTCTTTGGATTGGCTAAGACATCTTCAAGTATCCATGACGTCATTCGACGGTCAGAGCTTCTATTGATGCGACTGGTTAACCCATCTATCGAGGTCTACATCGATAAGGATCTTACTGTCAAGTTCAGTGGTCAGTCGTATTTGGGAGCTGAAGGGCTTCCAACTTTCTTGGAATTCCACTGTGGGAAGCTTTCAAACTCGGATGTACTGGYGACAAGTCTGTCAACTCAAGGTCTTGCATTTAACGAGGCGTTGAGGATATACGCTGGGGTTAACCTCCCATCATTTGATTGGATGAGGCAGAGCAGTAATGAGTCAAAGGTAAGTGACGTTATGAGATATCGGAATCTGTTTGGCATTGTAAGTACGGTCAAACGAGCACGTCGGAGCACCAAATACCCTCTGATATACATGTTGTTGGCCGAATYAACCATTAACTTTCCGAGTGTACCTTGTTTAATTGTGTTGAATATTCTTGGATGAATCACCAAACATTTTGGATTGGGTTTGAATGCATTTGGCTATACCTTGATTGATGGCTATGAATGTTGCCGGTTGGGTATAGAGTTTGAACGCGTTTAGTATCTAAGCATTTAGATTGTTTGGTGGTCAATTAAATTTTATCTTGTAATAAAAAACAGTTTTGAATCGCTCAGCAATGTCAAAAATGTCTATCGGTTTTCGGTGATCAAGCGCAACCGCATTTTTCTTTTGCCTGGGATAACTAAGCTTGCTTTGTTTTGTTCGTCTGCAATATAGCTTCGTGCGACAAAGATTGTACCGGGATATATGTCGTTCGCACTCATTAGCTGTTTACTTTTTAGTTCTAACAAGCCTGCTTATTGGATACAGTAACGCGAAAAGGAAAAATAGCATGTACTCTTTAGAAGTCAAAACTAAACAGCCAATAAGAGTGAAGTACACATAGCCCGGTGCATGGAACACGACCTTCGTCGTTGATTCGCAGACCGACACATAACACAATTTGAGTTCGACTGCCCGCAGGATAGGATACAACACAGACAAAAACTATTGTTGTCCTTAACAACTGTTCCTCGTCTATTTTGTAAGGTTGGCGTCCTACTATCAACAGCAAATCTACAAGCCGATTCTAACCTTCAAATAAAAGGAGAACCACTGAACAGTAGCCTTGAAGGCTCCATCCCTGCTGGACTCACAATGGTGGCACAAACTCGAGTTCCAGCTCACTGTAAAGGGAATCGATTTTGTGAACTTGTGAAAGTGATTTTTGGACAAGACAGTTTGTTCAAAGTGAAGATCATATCAAATGCAGATCAAGTGTCGTTTGACATTGGTTTCGACAAGGCATCCCATCATGCTTTGATCAAGTACAAGACAGTTAAACTCTCAATGAACGTAAGTTTTCCTAATAATTCAGAACAACGCTTATTCAATCATGGATTTATTCATCTATTTATTAATAATTATATCTATGGTTTTATTGCAAAGGATTATGGTCGCCAGAGGGGGCAGAGTGACTGCATATCAAATAAAATGTACATGAGCTATCATTGATAAATGATGCCATCAAAACTCGACACTGAAGTTCGTCTTTTTGAAAAAATAAATATTAATAGGTTCAAATTTCGAGTCTTTCTCAGCATACTGTGACGTCATTATGCCATAAAGCAATTGATTGATTGATTGATTGTAGGTTGTCAAAGGGAATATGACACTTATTGATGTCCTTCCCTTGCTGAGCTTCAAAGCCAACGGTTTTATTAAAATGTCAAACACAAGCAAAGAAAACCTCTTCTTGGATGGAAAACTAGATTATGATGGCGTCCTGTCCAAGCTTAACGGCGTTTTTCAGGTCAATCAGGATTGGGTAAACGCACTTGGCATCAAATACCTAACACTTAGAAACCTTCATGCAAGGTATTTGCCAATCTACTTTGGTTATTTATAATATATTGATTTATGTATACTTGCAGTAATAGGCCTTTTGCATTTCACAGTCACAAGGTACTAATCCGCCATACTGGATTGCAAAAGAATGTGAACAACCTCAAAAACAAATGAACGCAGCCCGATAAGCTTAACTTTTATTTTTTGTGAACACTTGTCCCAGTGGGAACTTTGCCCTCAAGTATGGCGTATTTAGTACCATGTGAACGTTAAATGCAAAAGACCTATTGTAATTTAAAAGTTATATATAATAGAAGCGTGCGAAAACCGAAAGGAAGTCTGGGAATGCAAATAATTAGGCTTATACTTGTGTATAACAGCAGTGCTTCAGTTCCATAACACGATTTCCACTGAATTAGTAATCAAGACGACAAGAAAGTGTGAGTCCAACTACCTCCTTGGTCTTAGCTTCCATGATGTAACCTTTCTGAACCGGAGAATGTTTTTCGTATCATACTCAGCCACCACCAGTAATTCTTCATATTCTACTCAGCCCCCAACCGGAACTCTTCATTTCATACTGAGCCTCATCCAATATTTGCACTACATATCGTATTCTGACTCAACCAATAACTCTTCATATCATACTAAGCCTTGATCAATAAATTTTTGTATCGTACTCAGTCTCGCCAATAACTCTTCATATCATACTGAGCCTTCATCAATAATTCTTTATATCATACTCAGTCTCCATCAATCATTTTCATCATTTATCGCCATACTTAATACGCTTTCCATTTGTCAGAACTGGCTGGCCAGACCCAGAGAAAATGTCATTATATATCATTCCCATTTAGTTAGGAAATTCAAATTTTCAAATTCCACCCATAATTCTACAGAAAACCTCGAAATGACTGAAAAATGTTGACAACCATTATATACCTCCAAATAGAGTGGACTGGCCGCCCAGTTCTGCCTAAATGGAAAGCACCCTTAGTCTCACCAATAACCTTTCATAGCATAAATTTTGCGGCAAACACTAAATGCTGTTATTTCTTCGGCAGATTTTCACTTCCAACTGGCCCATCAAATTCAGAAACTAAACATGTACTGAATACAAGAGGTGATCTATATTTTGGTGCTGGTTGCCCGCAATTTAACAAGTCGCCAACAAAGGTACAAAATACTTTGAAATTAATTGTTTACACAACTGTTTTGAGGTGTTGGACTGGTCTATGGGTATAAATTAAARTCCATTTGATCTWAATAAGCATCTCCTTATATTTCACAGGCGAGCTGTATCACTGGTCARGTGTTTCTTGGTCTTTCGCAAGACATCAGTCAACATTATTTTTATGGCAARTTAGGACCTGTCAATCTWAAGCAACTWTTTGCGGCGTATGGTTATGATGTCAAACTACCTCATGCAGTCGAAACAATAGGATTTCCAAAAGGTCTAAAGGTAAGACCATAATGACAGCCTAATGACAAATACTCCATTTTCGAATTTTAAGCGAATAACCACTGTTTCCTTTGACAATTGATCATTTTCAATCATTCCCATGAGATTCAAAAGATAAGACCGGCGGCCATGTTGGAGGAATGAATTARCAATAGAAACTAATGAGAAATCCTTTGTTGAAGTTCCTCCAAGATGGCYGCTGTGACGWATAGTGAAAATGGAGAATATATAGTATGTCGACGTACCTATATTTTGTAAGTCGAATGTGGAAAATAAGGCTATTGTAATTTCGTTTTTATTTGAACTACAACCGTCGAATTCTATAGGTCTCAGTATTTGGAGTTTTTGTCACCTCAAATAAAAGCTCCAAACTGCAGCGAGATGCTGCGTTCGACGACTCCTCCCTCAATTAGTACAAACAAACTGTGATCATGAATCAAAGTTCGGAGTTGTTCCGCGAGTTCACCGACTTTATATATTACAATTGAGTATTTTTCGTTTTCCTCACGTGTGCATCAAATAGTTTATATAACTTTTCACGGCCATAGCACGTTTTTGCTGATGCTTGAGTTGTATATTTTAGATATCTGTTGCAAGAACATCACATGATGAGCGAATCGATGGTGGCCCATTAGTAAATCCTGGTTTACTGATGACTGGTAGACTTCGTGTTCTTGGAATAGAAACTGACGCAACTGTGTCGCTTACACCTAGAGAAGTAAGCAACGCTTTATCGCATTATTTTAGTTTTTGTGAAGGAATTAGAAGGCTCACATGTCATATATAGTTTTGCAATGTAAAATTTGGTACCTAGTCTTCTAGCTACTCGTTCATAGTGAGAGTTCATGAAACCTGCTAAATTCCACTAAATATTAAGTATTGGCTTTKTTGYTAGTTTCTGATCGACGCTGATGTCACTGGTGATCCAATTGAAAGATTTAAGCAAGCTGATTTCGCCAAGAATAATAAACAAACCAAAACAAAACTGTACATGAAAACGAGAATGAATCCCAGTGCTTTCGTTAAGGTAAGATACTTGTGTTGTGTTGTGTTGTGTTGTGTTGTGTTGTGTTGTGTTGTGTTGTGTTGTGTTGTGTCGTGTCGTGTCGCGTCGTGTTGTGTCGCGTCGTGTTGTGTTCTATAGAGTTTGCTGTATTTTATATTTATCTTTTTCTGTTGAATTGAGTTGTGCTACATCGTGTTTTGAAGAGTTTATTTTGTTTTAATTATTAATTATTAATTTGATTTTTTAATTGTGTATTGTTTTGTAGAAAATTGTATTGTGTTTTGGTGTGTTTTGGTTAAGATCTGTGTTTTTGTATTGTGCTAAAAAACAACAAGAACAAGAACAACAATCAATTATTTTTTTACCCTAGATTAACATTAATGGCTATTCTCGGATATTTGGAATATTCGATGCAGTTGACATATTGGTCAGCGGTGAGACCACCCAGATTCGAATGGTGGCTGAGATTCATAGATCCATTTATGCGCATGTCYATYTGACRTCAAATTACAGCWYAAACAGAAATAAAACCCATATGGAAGCCAAGATAATCTTCAGAAACGAACTCTCAAAGGTGCAAAAACACTCATTATTGCTAAATGCTTAAATTTCAAAATATTATTAATAGTTTTGACAAACTACAAYTTTKCACGTTGKGGGTAGGGGAAGGGCACCTGGAAGGGAGGGACGAAGAAAACTAGGTCGCACAGTGTTCTTGCACTTGTAAAACAGGACAGCGTTTATTTTAAACCAATCGCAATTTTTTGCGATTGTAGCTGATCCATTAATATTTTGTTCGTTTGTTTGTTCCTGCAGCTCACTCGTTTGGCCTCCAAGCACATAGTCAACATGCTTGAGACTGAAATGTCAAAAATCAAGATGGCGGAAAAAGAGGTCAAACAGCGTTCAAAAGATTGCGTCAAATCATCGAAAAAACAATGCTCAAAGTGCAAAAACCAACCTGWCTGCTTCAATACGTTAGTAACCTGCTACAAAACTACTCAGCCTAACAAGAAATCTACGCTACTGTCAGTATGTCAAAGACTTTTAGTGAATCCAAAACTTGGAGATAATATCACGTGCCAAGCGTTCAGAGCAGTGATTGGCTCATATCCAAACAACTCATGCGTGTCATATCACGAGGCAACGAAAAAGTTGCAGAAACTACAGCGTGGACTAAAGTGGGTGCGACAAGCACGTGCTCTCATCTCGGGTAATTTATTCAACCTTCATAGCATTTCATTCGAGGCCGAAGTCTTACCGACAGATCTCCGGAACACAGTCGTCGATACTACATTTGATGTTACCATATTTGGGCAACGGAATACTCTTCGGGGTTTAAGGCTTCATTTAGACTCATTTTCCAGGCTTGCTTCCGAAATTGCTAAAAAGGCTTTTCTTTGGTATAACAAACGATATGGCCTTTATGGAAACTAAATTCGGATCTTTGGAGCGTTCATGGGAACTAAACTGTGACCTTCGGGACGATAACACATGGAAGCTAGAGTGGGACCTTTGGAACGTTTATGCGAACTAAAATGGAACCTTTGCAATGCTCATGGGAGCTAAACTAGGACCTTTGGAAACATGTTCATGTTAGCGGTTTCTGTTGAAAATTTCCCCATGTAAATATTATAGTTCTGAACATGGCAAGGAACGATTTAATAAAAAATAGAAATAAATTTCGGAAGATTATCGCGGTACTTATTGTTAAGTATGAAGGTTCTGTGTCAAAAAACCATGTCATGTGCACAACGTACAATAGGGCATACGTACAACGAGATTGATCAATAGAACACTGCTATATTCAAGTGAAATCAATGGAGTTAATAAGGTTACTATAAACCTGGTAGAGTAACGTTTTTTAAAAGAGACCTAAATCTACTCTACAATGCAAGAAGTCTTTTTTCTAGAGGTTTAAATCTACACGGGAAAGTTATCTTCTCCAAAAGGAGTTTAAAATTGCTCATAGAAGAAGATTCAAAATTATTAGTCCCAGCTGAAGTTAAAATTGGTGGAGTTAAATCTACTCCAGAAAAGGAGTTTTCTACTCCTCTTTTGGAATTATATCAATTCAATGAAAATAACAGTGTAGTCCGTTRCAATAAACTAAACTTAAACTAAGATTTACAACAAGCAGAAGTAAATAACGTCGYTTACTCTTAAATAGACGCTGCCATCGTTTGGGAAATGTTCGACATTACTATGCATAATTTGCCCAAGTACAAGGACAATTAAGGTGAAAC